CTGTAGGTATGAGGTTCTGGGGTAAGAGAGTTAGCTAAGTGAGCTCTTCGACGAGAAGTGATGATGTTGGAAGAGTCGATAGCACTGGAGATAGCTTTGGGGGCCGGTACAGTTGCAGGAACATAAGTGAAAGACGGACGACCGGTGAGTTCTTCTTCAATCAATGGATCATCGTCACTTAAGGGTTCATCTTGAGGCTGATTTTCCACATCGATGATTGGTTCAACTTCCTCGATAGGCTCGTCAATGATCGGTTCTTCTTCAGCTTGAGGTTCTTGATCTTGTTGATTAGAATGAGATGCATCATGAATGATAGAATCCGGTAATTGAGGAATAGTCAAATCTTCATCTTCGGTGAGTGAATGAATAGGTGAATGTTTGGGTTCTTCTTTGTAAGCAAAATCAGAGTTTATATCTTCAATGAAATGAACGTCAGAGTAACCGAATTTCTTGTTAAAAGCAGTTAAAACAGTAGAATCAGAAAATGGAAAGATTTCTTCATTAAAAACTACATCATGACTATAAACTACGCGATGTTCTTCAAGTAAGTAAATACGATAGTTATGCATTGTACCTTGATAGCCTAGAAGAACACCTTTCTTAGCTACATCAGAGAACTTGCTTGTACGCCGTTCCTTACCAACGTGTACATACGCAAGACAACCAAAAACTCGAAGATGGGAATATGAAGGAGGTTTGCCAAACCAGTTTTCGTATGGAGTAGTGAAATTATCCCGAGCAATGGGAGTGAGATTTTCTAAATAAACAGAAGTGGAAACAGCTTCTGCCCAAAACATGAGAGGAAGATGAGCTTGTTTAAGTAAAGCTCTGGCTTTCTCGGTGGTAGTTTGATTACCACGTTCAGAGATGGGATTTTGTTGTGGAGTATAGGGTGCAGTAAAATCCATCTTAATACCTTCATGATTAATAAACTCAGTGAATTGCTTTGAAGTGTATTCACCTCCATTATCATTGACAAGAGTTTTGATTTGTAAATTGGTTTGATTCTCAACAAGAGCTTTGAACTGGACGAAATAGGAAAATGTTTGACATTTGGTTTTCAAGATGTAAACAAATTTAAAGTTGGATTTCTGATCTGTAATTTTAAAATAGTATCTACCGCCACCGAGAGAAGGAGGAGAAATTATGCCACTCAAATCACTATGTAGTACAGATAGGCGATCACAGGCGATGGGAAGATGAATTTTAAATGGTAGGCGGTGATGTTTAGAGAGGATACAAGGTTCACAGGAATCAAGAAAAGTAACTCCAGGAAAAGCTTTCTCCAAGGGAATTCGTCCAGGATGGCCTAGGCGCCTGTGTAGAGTGACAGGATCAATTTGAGTGGAAGCAGTGAGTGAGACGAAAGGTGACTTGCCCATGTCGAAGTTAACTTCCATAACTCCACTCTTGGTGTCCCCAGTGAGTACCACGTCAGAGTCAACAATAACATTGAAACTAGAATCCGGAGAAAAATTGAATGAACAGCCTTTTCGAACCAAGGAAACCATGCTAACCAAATTCGTCGACAATTGAGGAACATGGAGACAATCGGTAAAAGAGATGGGTTTTCCGTCATGAGTTCCAGAAACAGTTCCAGTTCCGACGGCAGCGATTTGTTGACCGTTGGCGACGTGGATGGTGGCGTTACAAGGTCGATAATTAGTAAAGCAAGATCGAGAGCTGAACATGGATTGAGATGCACCAGAATCAAGAACGGGTTTTCCGGTTAGAGTTGCATTGAAGACGTAGGTAGTGAGAACCGTACCACTAATGGTAGCGTTGGCAGATCCTCGATTGGCAGACCGACTGGTGTTTCGAACAGGTTTTAATTCAGGGTGGAGTTGATAGCATTGAGTGGCAGAGTGTGCAGTCAAAGGGTTATGGACACCATCTAAACAACGCTCATAGGTGACGGTGCGACGTTCAGCGACTAGAGCAGCAGGAGGAGGTGCAGAGCTAGGTTGATAATCTAGGACGATTTGTTGGAGATGTTCAAAGACTTGACTGAGAGTGAGAACAGTATCGGCGCCTTCAGCAGTGTGAGCAAGAAGATCACGAGTTGAGTGATAACAAGGAGAAAGTTTATATAACAACATATGGGCCAAGATATCATCATCAATCTTAAAAGAAACTTCGGTCATCTCATGCGTGATTTTTCAATACTCAGTTAGAAAGGAAGAAAGAGCGTTGTCGGAGCATTTAAGATTGAGAAATTTTCTAAGAATACGAGCTCGATTACGAGCTTTGGTGGAAGCGCATAATTTGACTAAAGCATCCCAGATGGCTTTGGGATCTTTAATGTTAGTAGCATTAATGACCAAAGCGCGATTCTCAGGACTAAGCTTTCGAGAAATAAAACCAGCTGCTTTCTTCTTACGACGAAGATATTCAGCTTTGACTGAGGGAGCAGCGTCTTCAGCAGGAGCAACTTCAGTACCGTCAATGATACCGTCGACATCTCCTTCCATAAAGTGAGCTAGCATGAGGGGAGACCATCGCTGCCAGTCGTTCTCTAATGGAGTGATGTGCGAAGCTTTGTTGGCTGAGTTGTGACTCGTCATTACTTGAGTAATGTGGTTGTGATCGTTGGTGATGGTGTTAGTTGGAGTAGAGGGTGAAGACGTTGGATTGATCAACGCGTCGCTCATAGAAATTGGTAGCGCAGAATCTGGTTAAGATGAAGGTGCTGGGCTCATAACCTAATGAGGTAGGAATGGCCAGGTGACTGGTAGGAATCACGATGTTAGTGATTACGAAAGAGCGCTATGGCTATGAGATCACGTTAGAGTGATGGAGAACTAATCACCTGGTAGGAATCACGATGTTAGTGATTACGAAAGAGCGCTATGGCTATGAGATCACGTTAGAGTGATGGAGAACTAATCACCTGTTGGAAGGTGTGGATGTAAAGAGATGAAATGTTTGAGTGAATATATTTCCATAACCAACAACATGAGTGAACAAAGAGAAAGAATAAACAACAGCAGACCTGGTAGGAATCACGATGTTAGTGATTACGAAAGAGCGCTATGGCTATGAGATCACGTTAGAGTGATGGAGAACTAATCACCTGTTGGAAGGTGTGGATGTAAAGAGATGAAATGTTTGAGTAAGGAAAACAAGTTGATACGCAAACAATAGCTCTTTATATAGCAGATAGTTCTCTAGACATAGGTTAACAGTCGTACAAAGGTTTGTGTCTATCATGCACCGCATTGGGAGCATCGAAACAAATAAGAAATAAGAAAAGGAGAAGAGAGAGATGAATAGTTATCCTAAGACCAATGCGGAAGTGGTTGTTAAGTTAAGGAATAGGATGTTGATAATTGCGTTCAGATTCCAATAATAAGAGAATCTGAAAGCACAAGGATGAGCGCAAGATACTGAAGTTTAACATAGTCTGATGGCAGGGTATTTCATAAGCACAGAAAAAAAAAGTTATAATGGAACAAGATTCTCCCACCAAAAGCCCAATGTGCTCTTCACCGGGGAAGCAGACATTAGGTGGATGTATATCCCTTTTTCCTGGGGACCGTAAACTTCAAATGTACAAGGAACAAGATTGAACTTGGTTAAGTTAGCCTAAAGATCATGTCAACTTATTGGTGGCTTTATCCTGAGGATTCATATTGATGTCTGGAAATTAATCTGACAGAACCTTGAATAGCACCTAGGGAACTCACAGATGTAGAGCCCAGTAATCACTTGAGGGTTTTATTATGGAGCAAAATAAATGCCTTTATGTATATATTTCCCTGCGTAATGTTCCGATATCACACTTGTCAAGGAAGGATATGAAAGTCAAGTTGAATTGGGCTTCGTCATTTTGCTTGACTGTGACGTTTTATGGATATCACTTATCATTCCAAGTGGTTTCGAGTGCCATTGTTTCACACTTGTCATGGAAAAACGTATATCCACATTGGATTTAGCTGAAGATACGTTTGGACCAGGTTATCGAGGTTAAAAGCAGCGGAGCTGTTGATTTCATTGACGTTACCGCTTAAGAGATGCTACCGACGCAGCTAAAAGGTTTCGGGTGCTATTATGTGTCACTTGTCGAAGCAAAGAGGTGAAAGTGAGATGAGGTCTTGTTTCTAACTTGCGTGAGGCTGACCGGTGAGGTGTAATGCAAGCTGCCCTCTACTCTTTGCAAGGTGGCAGATTTTCGTTTGCTTTCTGATCCGAATGTCACACTTTGCAAAAGGTACTACGTAGGCACATACGTCAGTGGTATAAAGGTGCAGAAGTGTTTTACACTGATAAAAAACGAAGAGCTCTGGGGGGCAAACAAGCCAGAGTTCAGAGTTGGCTATGAAATGAGAACACATGAGTCATCATGAGCTCAGCCCCCGGCGATGATATTGTTCAACGTAAAAGTCTGAAGTGATCGAGCGCCGCAAAAAGAATGCGTAGTTATCATCTCCACACATTGGTGGATGAGTGAAGGCGCCAGTTTATTGAAGCACAGCTTCAACTCGTAAAAGGGTGAGGTCAAGTAGTGGTCGTAGTTTTCCTCACGAATATAAAAGTGGGACGTCCATCGGCTTGGTAGCTCCTCACCTAGTCATCATCAGTGCTCATTGTTTGTGTATAACCTTTCGTAGCTACAAAAGACCTCATCTGTACCTAGTAACCACCATGACCAAACTCTCAACTACACTTCTGGCCGTTGTTTTCGCAACATCTCCATTTTTAGCCCGGGCATTACATTTTAGTGGGCCTGACTTCAAAGTCGAAGGTGTTCCGCAGCGTGAGTTGCTACCGCAATGCCCGGAAGCTGTTGCTCCAGATTCATAACTTGATTACTATTTCTTTTAGCTTGGGTTGAAGATAACCTCCAAGGCGGTCTTGAGAAGTTTTATGGAAGCGTAGATGCAGGCGAGCCAGATGGCGTAATCGCCCAGATACACGATTATTCGAATGCGAAGTTCGATTATTTTGGGCGCGTTCTCACGGGAGAAAGTGAGTAGACCCCCTTGTGCAGTGTAAAGATGCTATCAATATATTCTGACACCCTCTTTGTATTATCTGACCATCAACTTCCGTAAGACATTGGCGCAGCCCTGAGAACGGCGATGGTCAATCTAAAGCGCACATACGAGACAGAAATTTCTTCAGGTATGCTCCCTAGTCGAATATGTGCTCGAATCATTTACGAGGAGAAAACCATTTGCAGTAATCTGACTCTTGATCTCCTTCCTCATCCTGATACCCAAAAACACAATGTGCGATTTTTTTTAGCAAAGTGCACCGAAAACTCAGATCATGAAAAGGTTGAGATTAAATTACTAGGTAAAGTGACTGTGAAGCAACCGAACGAGGAGAATCACGACGAGGGCTACGACGCAACCATCACTTTCGTGAAACACGAAGGCCAACTCAAAGTCTTCAGTTTCAAAAGAGTGTTTGCTGAACTTGAGCCCAAGGCCAATGTTTCTCAATGATCTTTTTCTCATTCAAGCATCACCATGCACACAAGGATACAACCTGTCATAGAGCTGGATATCAATGTTGTTATTAGTGCCCATGACAAAATTGCTGGGCAATATTTGCTTTGTCAACCAGAGTAAGAGTTGGGCTATTGTTCTGTGTGCATCTTTCTCAAGCAGACAAACATCTTGCCAACTTTTGTGCCTTGTGTGAAAAAACCCTGAGCTTGTGAGCCATACCTCTGAAAATCCCACACTTTCATAGAGGCACAGATTTACAAGTTTTCTGCGCGTTGTTACCATGAATTCCACTTCTAGACTGGTTTTTGAATTTTTGATCAGCTAAAACTCAGGTAGAGTGCGAGTGACATGCCACGGGATGTCAATTGCTCACCTATCTAGATCCATGCCCACGAATTGAGATGTTCCAAGCAAAATGGACTCTCTGAGATCACCCCAATGACATCAACAACTGTGTTCAAGAGGCAACTTGTGGTTGGAAAGCAGTGAAACATGAGGCTAGAGTGATTTTTGTTGATGAAGTGATAGTTCCTTGCTAGGAATATTTGTTTTGCTACTGTTTGTTTGGTGGTCAATTATATGCAATTTGAATGGATTCAAAGGTCATAGATATCAACACATTCAATGTGATAGATTATGTTTCAAACAAACTTGATAGATAGCTACCCTAGAGAAAAGATGTGAGATGTACAGTAGATTTCAAAAGGATGAAATCAGATATTTCAAAACATGATCACATGGTACATGCAAGGTGCAACCACAGCCAAAATTGAAGTGGCTGGGCTGTCAACTGAGTAATCACATCACACATAATCTGCAGAATATTGTCCATCTTTTGGGTTGGCCTTTTTTTCCTTGTTTCTTTTGACCACTTTTTCTTCTGGCTGGGGTGAGTCCTAGCTTCATTTTTTCTGCCTCTCATTGCACTTTGCTCATTGATCCCTATCTCAATGGGTGATCTTACTTCCAACCCTATTCTACCTTCCACTCTATCTTCAAAATGGGGTTCCACCTTTACTCAGAGGACATCAAGCTCCTGGCTACTCAGGTGGCAGTGGGGAATTTTGCCTTTGCTGAGATCAACTTGCACTTACAAACATTCATATCTGTGGTTTCAATCTATCAATGGAAACACATTTTCTGTCTCACCAACAGTGTCATAGAAAAACCAGTAACATAAAAGCCTCTTGGTTGACCCTGTACTTTGTCCAGCATGAATCTTGCAATCCTAGGTTTTGTTGTAGATTGCCCCTCAATCTACCAAGATGGGTTGAAACCCCACCTCTGTATCTTGTGTTACATAAATTGTGAAATCCACAACCACTTGGGATTATCTCTCTTGTTCACTCAAGGTGCTCATCCAAACTCCCTTGAGGAAAGGACATATATAATGTTGTGGGTGGCGGGAACACCACCAGAGTGTTTGTTTTTCATTGGTATGTACTTTATTTCCTGTGTTTTCTATGTTCTGGTCTTGGTCTTATTACTGATACCTGTTGACTTGCAGATGAAAGCAGGGTGTGAGCGGCAACACATCTCAAAAACTTGGTTATGCTAAGTCTGGATCTCAAACTTTTTGCCAGAAGCAATTGACCAAGTGGGATTATTGAAACTTTCTCCTGGCAGTGAGTAAGTAGGGAATGAATGATAGCTGGGGTAGTTTTAGAAAGTCCGGTCAGCAGGATCTTTGGCAAGTGTGACTTGTTTATAAGTTTTTGAATTCTTTGCTCATCATGGCTCAATTTTCTTATAATCCTTTGCTTGCTGTTCATTCTAGCTTATGGTGATGAACCCATATCCAGATCCCAACTTGTTTTCAATCATGGACAATGCTTGAGTTCATCACAGAGGAAGAATTCTCAAGCTGTATTGAAAAGCAAGCTTCAGATTTCACCTTTTTGAGGAGCCAGGGTTGACGGCATTCTATAAATAGCTGCAAGTTCATACAAAAATCTTTCTTGCTTCATCTATTTTACCAGCAGATCATCAAGTTTGTATTGTGTAGTTCAGACCATGGACTACTGAAACTCATTCTTTTCTTTTGTAGAGCATTTAATTTGCATGTTTCCTAACAATCATGATCCACAGACTTCTTGCATGTCTCAGAGGTTCTTTTATTTGTTTTGATGAATAAGGACAACAATAGAAACTACTTTTATTCTTCATTCACAAGTTACATGAATTCATTTTGGAATGATTCGATCTGGTCACAGAAGTGCCAAAAGCTGACAATGGGGCCAAGAGCTTGAGTTGATTGAGTAAAAGATTTTATCAAGGCTGAATCTTTGACAATATAGCATGATTTGAAATCTGGCCTGTGGGGCCATCATGGTCATCATCAAGTCCAGCCCCATCAAAATTTACACAAGGCTTCATGGCAGCAACTACAAAAGTCAAAGGAGGTTGCATTCATGTATTCATATCATACCAACTTGACTCTAAATGCTACCTCTGAACCTTCTGTTTGGGGGCTTTTTGCATCAGATTAATAAAAGTCCCTTCTCAACTTCAATCTTTTTAATTTTCAAATTTGAACATTTTACACACACATGACACATGCAACCACAAATTCAAACAAACAAACAAACACCTTACAAAAAACATAAATACCTTGATCAGTAAGAAAAATCAGTGATAGTTAAAAGTTGACTTCTTCTCCCAAAGAATATGTACATCTTATGTATATAAATTTAAATCATTTCAAAAGAAAAGATACAAAACAGTTGAAAATTCCATTCTCTTTTGCAGAAAGAAGGACTGGAAAGTTTAAAAGTTTCAAAAAAAACAATAGACAGAATCAGGACCATTTTCTTATGAATTAACTTAGAAAGGGGAAAAAACTCACCAAGACCATAAAACAAAAACTAAAACACATGAATATTTAAAGAGAAAACCCCCAAAACAAACCAAAAAACCAAAGAAAGACAAAGTGATTTTTTTCATCTCCATTAGGATACAGAACATAAAATAAAGAGGAATGAGAAATTTTTCAAGAAGAACTTCTAGATTTCCAATAAATAGATTCACTACTTTCACCAGCACCTAAATCAGATTCAAAACTTTTAACATCAAATTGATCATTCCCAAAAGCTTGATTCCTACTCATCATTTCCCACAAGAATGTTTTATGTTCAATAAGTGAAGTGATATTTGGAGTTAGTTGATTTTGATCATTAGGATTTGAAGGATGATCAATGATTTGTTGACTAGAGATTGCAGATTCACTGGCAATGGTAGCTGCACAACTTAATGCTGAATTACTATGACAACGTCGTAAGTTTGAATTGGATGGAACTCTTAGTTTGTTGAATTTGGATTCATCTCCTATGAAATATGATGGAGCGTTTGATTCTTCTGAAATTGAAATTGATGGTGATTGACATCTTAGATTATCATTTGATTTGGTTAGTTGGTTCCTTCTTTGAATCAAATTCATCGTCCAATTTCCATTCAAATTGTTTTGATGATGATCTTGATTGATTGAAAGGGTTTCAATTGTAGCCTCATTGTTTTGATTAAATGACTGGTGAATAGATTGGTTGAGTTGAGAGATAGGTGGTGATGTTACAATCCAAGTAGGTGAAGAATGATGGTTTGCATTTTCTAATCTTTCCTTACCTTGATCACTTGCAATTGATGAAAGCGTAGTAGAAGTTTCATCTAAATGATCTCGTAAAACTTGTGATCCATCATGATCTGATTTAAATCTCAGTCGACGACGAAAGAAAATGGTAAGAGTCGCAATTGATGACAAGATGATTACAATTGCACAAGTTGCAATGGCTCCTGCTATGATTGCTACATGAACATTGACATGTGGATGTATTGAATGAGTTTGATTTTGATCTCCATTTGAATTTGAACCTTGACGAACATCAGTAGCAGTAGTCACATGACTTGTTTTAGGTGATCGATTTGAATCGATCTCAGCTTTTGGTGCAGGAGTTGGACAGAGTGGACCGACTGAAGTGAGATGTTCTACTGCTATCACATCATACCAAGGGTAAAGAGGTAAAGCTGGATTCGATTGATGACTACGTTTTTGCTTTCGACGAGTATATGGTTTCAAACTAGAGTTATTATCATCGACGTTGCTACTGTTATGATTATCGCTGTGATCGTTTGTTTCTTGGTTAGTATAATTTTGATTTTTGTAGTCAGTTGGTCCAGACGGTGGATCGGAACTTGTTGGTATGGGTGTAGCCAAAGGGAGTGAAGCAGTTGAAGTATAAATCGTAGGCTGAGGATACTATTTGTAATTTGTTTATTTATTTTTCAAAAACAATCAACAAACAACAAACAACAAATTAACCAAATTGAACTTGATAATCGCAGATCAAAGTGAGGAGAACTTACCAATCTGTTATAAGAATGAGTCATTAGCTCATAAGTTTTGAAAGTTCGACATCCATCTTGTTCTTTAAGAAGTTTATTGCCATCTTCCGAATCATTCCCCATCGAAATAGAAATATTATTTTAAACAAGAAAAAGTATTGATGTTGGTTTTTTTGATTCTTTTAGTAAGTGAAATGGTTTATTCAAGTCGTAAGTTCAAAATAGAGAATGTTGAAGTTTCTTCTTGAGAGAAAAAATCTTTTTACAAAACGAAAGAAATGATGAATCAGAGGAAAAGTCGTAAGGTTTAGTTGATAGAGTGATGAGTTTTTCAAGTATGGACTAGAGGTTAGTTCAAAGAGAGTTAAGTAGAAGTGAGATGATTTGAGAAGAATTTTGAGAATAGTTGATGATCGGAGTGTTATAGTTACTTTCCTCGAGGCTCGCAGTACAACGATTTCTTTAAATTTCTTGAGATTGCTCGGAGGTCTTTTGTTTGTTTACAAATGACCTCCACCTTCAACTTTATAACTCAAGTTTTTCTTTTCGTAAAAGAACGATTGATAAGATATGGTTAATGAACCTCCTAACTCAAGACTAAGTGTTACCTCTTTTTGATTCCTTTTCAAATAATCAAACTTTGAGAACTCCGATTCAAGAAAAAAAATTACAAACTCTTTGTGAAACGAGTTTTAAAGAAGGCAATTGATAAACCACGCCGACTTCAAAACTGGTTTGACGCCGGTTTTTCTTGAACCGGATTCCTTCAGAAGATATACAGCTGCTTACTGATGAGCCGAGCTGTATGCTTCTGTAGCCTTCAGCCTGTTTCTGAAGCCGGATTTTAACAATTTACAGACTTGGTGACATCTCTTTTGAAAGCTTTTGCATCATCCTCACCGCTGGATTTTAGATCTGGTATTTGAGAAGGTCACTCCAGAAACTGATGATCTACATACTTGGTTTTGGTAGCCGTAGGAAACATTGAGAGTTTCCTCTTGTTGAGGATGGGGGACCATTGGAGATGTAGCCGAGTGGGATGATGGATGATCGGGGACCATTGGAGATGTAGCCGAGTGGGATGATGGATGATCAAAAAAGCCTGGACCACAAGAAATATGACATAATCTTGTTGCCATTTGCTTGACTCAATTGCTGGACAGCCAAGCGCTTGACACGAGGAGACAGATCATCACATATGGGGCTTCTCACTCAAGAGACACATAGAGTATCGGCTCAGTCATTGGCTTCCTGAAGTAGCCTTCAAAACACTTCAACAGCAAGTGCATTGGGTCAAAATCTGGCATGGTTTCTGTCTTTGACTCATTGTTTCTGTATCTTATTATTATCTCCTCTCATTCCTGCTTCTACATCTCAGTGGATGCTCTGAACATCGACTTTTTTGACGCTACAAGAAACGACTGATGCTTGGTAACACACTCTCTTTTGAAGCTTGAGGAATGCTTCTTACTGCTCGCAGCTCCAAAGTCTCGAAAGTGGCCTCAAGACATTTTTATCCAAACTTCACACATCTTTACATATCAAAATCAAAAGCTGGCTTCAGAAGTGAAATAAAAACCCGGCTTCAGAAACAATCTGAAGTCTGCAGAAGCAGTACGGCAGAGTACGGCTCTACACATCAGTATGCGGCTGAATATCTTCTGACGGAATCCGGTTCAAGAAAAACCGGCGTCATACCAGGTTTGAAGTCGGCGTGGTTTATCAATCACCTTAAAGAAATATCACTTGAGAACAAGCACAAGAAAGAATCGAGTCAATCGATTTGTACATCAAGTTTCGCAATTTTTATTCCAATCTCTCCAATTCGCCGCCACAAGACTTTTGCAGGCGAGTCTGCGCAGGCTTCTTTTGAATTGAGCGACTTATTGTATATCAGACGGGACCATCAAATTTGATGTATAACATTGGTGATCAGTTTTAAATCATTCAATCGATTTGCAGACTTCCTTTGGGAACTTATCATCATCATTTTGATCGATTTCCATATCTGGTTTTCACAAAAGTGTCGTCATCAATGCCCATTGAAATCAGGATCCCAAAATGTAGGTAAGCATAAAAGTCAACGTATCCCTAATATTTCTTGGTAGAAAAAAGGGTTGCGTGTTCATCTTATCAATCAAACCAATCCAGATAATTCAATTTTAAAAAATGTGGGGAACAACATCGGCTATGGTATGTAAGAAATCCAGTTTTAATTTTGTTTTAAGGGGCAGAGGATACACATCAACTGATCCACTTCAACTTTTTATGAGGCTTTCCAAGTCTTACACTCGGCATCTATCCGCTCCTATCTTCTTATCACCTCCTTCTACCCCCTGGTACACCACCTCCACATAAGACCTCCATGGTGCGTAAAGCATGAGTATGCAAATACGTACAAATGACATCAGTGCAAAAAAGAACCACGTTGATGGTGATGAAAAAAAAGTAGAAAATAATGAAAGCAGATGGTTGATAAGAAAGGAAACCCCCAGAAGTAATGACATAGACCTAGCTCCCATTCAGCAGCGATTACCATTCACCACGTAAAGGGAAACCCAGCTTGATGAGTTGGTTGGAGCAGGTTAAAGAGCAGGTGATCAACTAACAATGGGGGACCGAGGGTTACTCGGTTTTATCATCTCGAGTACTTGCAGGGGTTGGATTTCGAGTTTTTGGCCTCGGATTTTTCAATCCGAGGTATTCTCGGATTTCTTTTCTTGTCTTCAATCATATCATTTTTGTCCCACAATTAAACGAGCGCGATGGACGATCGATCTGTGGCCAACCACCATAAACCCTGGATCGCAAGTCAGGCTTGTAGGCCCGAGTATATATGCGGACTTAATGATGTTGCAAAGCGTATCCCCCAGTTAAAGAAGACTGGTGACAATTTCGATACATGGGATGGTCATTTAAACAGAACATGGTCGCACCTGAGGAGCTTTGGAACGTTCCCTCGCTACATAAGGAACTACGTTCCTACGCCCAATACGTCAAATCAAATTGGAAGTAAAGTCCGCATCCGGTTCACCCCATGTCGCTTACATATATACAGTCTCACAATTCTGACTTCCATTATCACACACATATATCCCGCGTAATTATCCGCCAACTCTTATCAGTGATCACCCTCTTCGAATCATAAACCACCTCCAACACCATCACAAAATGCGCATATCAGATTTACATCTACACTTGTCCGAGTTCCCCTCACTGGCAAGCCTTGATGCCGCAGACGTATTCCAATTTGTTACGGTCGCTAGCCACTTCATTTCAATCAATCAAGGATCTATACCAATTGACGAGGACAATGCCCCGTACGAATATCTCAATGCTGCCCTCCGACCCCCAGAAGTACCCGGCACATGGGAGGTACTATGGACGGTGTTGTACCCTACTCTATTCACATCGCACGCGGATCCTCCAAAGCAAGTACGAGACAAAGGCCTCATTCAAGCAGCCGGCGCGCCGACCATTGCCGAAAGAATATTCTTGCCACCTTACCAAGATGAATGTCCCACCGCAGAGTGCCACGTCACTGGACGCCGATTGGAAAAGCGCCCCCCTTTATGCGGGTACCTCTACGACCTAGACGGAGTCAAGTCAATTCGGCACCATACTACATATTGCCGCCGTGAGTTTTTCATATTCATAATACAAACCCAGTCAACGGCAGCTCATTCCCCAATCCCCTCCTCGTGTCAGACTGCAAGACCAGCTTCAGGGCTTCGTACTTTTCCAACAAGGACGAACGAACTTACTACTTGAACACCGTCAGAAGAGATCCAGACTGCATACAAGTCAACATGCACTATTTTATGACTCTCCGGCTGCTTGAGTTTTTCAACCACTCCCAATCCCTAGCTCAGTAAGTAACCACAGACATTCACATTCACGAGCTTTAATCACACAAACTAAACCCCATACAGCGTTTCAATATACAACTTGGTAACCATTTACAATAGTTCTCACAAGCTGCATGAGCCGGCACCCAATCACTTCGTTGACGAGTTTTTCGAGCCCACGCTGTCAGACCACTGCTGCACCACAGCGTTGGATCTGCAGCGGCTACTCCGCCACTTCAACCTCCGCGACCGGCATATGACCGTTTCTAATTCAGGAGGGTCCCGACATCGATTCCGTGAAGCTAAACAGGCCATTTTAACATGGATGGAACTCGAAGGCAGCCCGAACCTCGATCACATGTGCTCCGAATGCACCGAGATCCTTGAAGATCCCAACGTACCCGGCGGCGGCTTGGGTAAGTAACAACACTCATTGATTGAACGACAGGTGAACCACGGAGCTGATCTTACACCATTGCTCACCCAGCTCTTCGCGCAATCGCCATGGACGGCATTACCATCGGGCATCCACGATGCAGTGCCACGAAGGAGCAACTGATATCTATGAACCCGCTGATATCTAACCCACTGCCGTGCACAGTCATGCTCGAGACCCCAAAAGATCGATATTGCCCAGTCCACAGCCCGATCCTTGGCAAACTATGCCATGCACAACCTTGCACGCGCGACGCAATAGGCACCACCAAGGCATGCGACATACCAGAGCACCAAGAAGCAATAGCGATTCGACACAAGAAGACACACCGGTCTCGAGCTGCTCTGGCTTTCAACCAGCGAACTGGTGCAAAATTGCCCGAGGACCCAACTGCCGCCCTCAACGCTGACACAGACGCCTTCAACTTAGATGCGTTGATTGAGACAGACGAGTCAGATCAAACGCACGAAGCAGGTCGCGACGGAGAAGATACGTTTCGACCTGCTGCAATCCAGAAGAAGCCATTATGCTCAAATGCCAAGACGCACAATGACCTACTGTTTGTGGGTACTTGCGGTATAACCCTTGCCAGAGAGACCATGTATCGTGCAGAGTCTGTCATATTGGTTCGGGTGAGTCCAGTTGAACCTCAACCATGACCTTGATATTCGGCAGTATACAGATTCTCATACATTTGACTAATCAGGAAATACTGGAAAGAAAATTCCCCGTTCTACCGCCAATACAATTCTTTGATAATTCATGCACGTTTGATAAATCACTCAGGAAGGACCCCGAGGCGTCGGAACGGCTGAAGGGCACAATCCGGCCGGTCGATCCATTCCACATGCGCACTCACTCCGAGAAAGATGCTCAGTGCCGTAAGTTCAATGACCCGAAGCGGCGGCCCTTCCTCAAGAAACCTGATGGCAATTGGAGGTTTAATGGGTCTGCAGCCAAGATTACTAACGCATGGTATGGCGGTTTTCTCTCAATTTGCCGTGGAATGCACGAGATCAACTACAGGTTCTTTCTGGAGGAGATGATCCGTGTGCGAAATGATTCGCTCCTCTCGAAGCTTGTAAAGAAAACTACATTTTGCTGTAATATTCCCTCGCATCTTGCCCAACAAAGTCCTTTCCCACTTTCACTTTGATACCGCTACTCCATGTTTCTTCCTATATTTGTAAATCTTCAATTGTTACCTTCTTGAACTCGCTGCCATGCGTAAACCTTATGTATCTCGTTTCTTTTTGTATGCACGCCTGCATCTCCCACTACCTTAGCCGGAGTTTATTACTTTTTTGATAATTACGATTTATGTCGTGTGTCCTCCGATTGACGCGAGCACACGCGAGTACTTACCATATTGCCAAGCCCTGCCAAGCTACCCTCACAATCATAAACGCACATTCGGTTAGGGAGATAGATAGATATATATGTCGCTCTCATGCCAATAAGAGAAGTCCAAAGTGACCTCACAAGTGTCATTAATCCCCTCTTAAATATTTACCATACCACACAAACCTCAATCAATAATATGCCCTCACCAAGTGACCCAAATCTTTCTATTATCATAAATCCCAGCGCAAAGAAGCATGAACATGCGACCGAAGAGCACGTTTTGAACACCACACATCCACGGTCCCTCGACAAGTTGAACGAGGTCGATCACACAGTCTCAGGTATGACTTTGTATCTCGTCCATCACTTACAAAACCGATTGTTGATTACAAAGCAACGTAGAAATGGGTCACAACCACGAAGCCAATGTTGAGGACGTGGTGGCTCATGTCCATTCCAACAATGACAACTCAGATAACGATAATGAGGCGAACCAGGACGTACAAGTCCATAACAATTCGTCCGAAAATAACTCTTCAGGTATAGCCATCAATCCAACCACCACCTAACTAATACCTCACTCACGTCCAAATTCCTACATACATTACATCCCAATGATCTACGTAGACAACCACGATGACACGGATGGGACGTTGGGTAAGTATGCCATTGCTCATAGCTATGCCGCCTGTTCATCTCATTATTTTGTCCTTTTTAGATGCACATTCCTCCGGCGGTGAAAGGACTCTCTACTACGAAACTATAGAGGACATGCGTGGTACCGTAGAAGGACGCATCTACCGTTTGTTCGACGCCAGCTTCAGCCGAAACATCCCTGCTTACAATCCGTATGAGTGGTTGAATTTTATGAAACATAAAGTCTCATACGTGATCAAGCGACCCGTAACTTTGCCACCCAGAGACCATGGCCATTGGGTGGCTAGAAGGGTCTACATAGAAGAACACGAAGAGCTTTGTGGCATGTATATTGTCAAACACAACTTAGAATGGACTCAGAACGGCAGAGCCCACTGTTTCGAGCGTCTTCAATGTCATCGCTTTGCTGCCATGATGTTGCCAGCTTTTCGCCAATCTATTCGCATCCACAAAGACAGAAAAGAACACAAGCGCGGAACGCCCAACAATATGCACCGGGCGATGTATTCAGAATCACAGGGGTTGAAGGTATTTTCACTTGACTGTATATCATATCATCACTTGGTCCTTCCTCATCCTCCCTCCGTTCATTAGCTTCCAGCAATGTCGGTCATGCAGACTCTAGCTCATCTATTCGACATCGACGATAATCCGCGATGGGTAATTTGCGAGGCTGAATCCGACGCAATCACCTCTCACCGATTCATTGAGGAGGATAACTTTCAAAACTTTCCTCAGGCAAAGATGACTTGGACAGAGCTTATATTCGCTTGGGTTCATTATACTTACGAGGTAACTGGGAGACGCACACTATTTACCAGTCTTGAATGTAATGAAGAGGGCCATATAACAAATATAGTTATGGCTACAAAAGGGTCAGTCTACTGAAAGTTAAACTCTCTCAATCAACTTATGTTTAAAAATGTAACTGATGTACTCCCTCTAATCCGAGTGCACTAGGAATCCACCACACTGCGACGACAGCGCGGAAATGCTAGCAAAAATCAACCGTGCCTTCATCAAGTTTTCTGAACAACACGATTTCAATAAAATATGTGAACATTTATGTCTCACCAAGTTTAAAAGGAACCAAGGAAGCGGAAGCAAGCAAGGTGATTCGACGGATATTATGCGTCTCAGTCCCTAAATTGCCTGATGTATAGTGATACATATCCATAAATGTTTATTTGCACTGAAAATTTTTTTCGTATTACATCGTATTACAATATCATATCTTATCTATTCTCCTTCTCCATCCAACAAAGTCGCGGTTATACAATGCATGTTGTACGTTATTGATCGCGCGGATGTCTTCCCGTTATCTCCTAACGGATATCAAACGGTAAAATGTTACAATTTAGGTAACTTCGTGTAAGTTATTGTTATCTACGTGTATCGTATAGCCATATCCATCTATGCACAAATGTATCGTCGTATTTTGGTATTCCTGAGTTATACATAACAATCACGCCGAACTTCGCTCAAACTTACATACATGAGGTAACCTTAGACGGTTATCCAATCACGCTGTTGATGTTGAAGATGGAACGGTGATCAGATATTAAGTTTGGTGCCGTACCAATTCCTTGGTTGGTTACAAACAAACAATATCCTAACCGCGTCAGTCGCGCGTGACTGACGCCATTGTGATGAGTCATGATTGGCTTCTTCAAGTGTGATCGTGTGAAGGTTAAAATATATATCATACAATTATATTGATTTTGTAAATAACCATATCAGTATCAACCCGCGATGCAAAGGCAAACTCCAATCGGTCGCTGGAAAACGTGAGTGATTCTGATTATAAACAACGTTTAACACTGCCCTCCCTCACATCTGATTGCGAATTTCTTTGGATGTTTGACCATAATATGTGGTCAGTATGAGTCAGTAAGCTGCTATGCTGCTACACGGATATGAAAGGTTGTTATTGAAACAAACTCACATCCTAACTAATGGTCAATCTAATCTCCTCATAAACTCATATCAAGTCGTCCAAGCAATCGCGTCGCGTCTCCTCTTCTCAATGTTGTAGGATGTTGACTGACTGAAACGTGTTTGCTTGTAGCATAGAATGTGTGAATATAAATAGATTCATCTCTCCGTTACATTGTTGCGCTCAGTCGTCCTTCTCCGTGCCAGGTTGGTTATAGTGACCCTATAATATATCATCCAACTATCTCTTCCCAATATCTAAGAATCACAAACCTAATAGTATTGTTCATCTATCCAAATAGTTGCCTCGTTTTCAATCTCGTTATGCCACCTACTCGCAGCATCAAGAATCATCCCACCCCGCAACAGTTAGCGTGGTTCAAGGGTCTAGATGCGCGCTCAAAGACGGAGATATTCCCCTTACCGATTACCGACAAGGCGCACCCCTGTGTTAAGGCTGGTATACCCCAATGCTTCAAATGCGGCAAACTTGGACATATGATGCGTTGCACCAGCCGCATTAAATCGGGTGGTGCCCATTTTAATGATTGGCGTCGCACCCGAAACGGCCTGTCATATAGCTTAGACAAACTATATATGAAGCCAGAAGATCTTGCGAAGGCGAGCCTCGCAGAAGCCTTCGGTAAGGCAGTTCAGCTCGTCGATTTTGTTGACGCGTGCTTATGCTAATCAAACCGGATTGTAACTTACTACATAGATGGTGACGATAACGTTTGGACGCGTGAGGTTATGGACCACCTAGACGCGGTGGAAAAACACGGTAAGTCATTGTAATGAATATTGCACGCCATGTAATACTCATATAATCGTGTTGGTTTTGTTCCATAAAGCCTCGCAGAGCGTCCCGGACCCTTGTAAATCACCTGAGAGTCATCATAACAAGACTTTTGGAGGCAAAATCGGAGACCATGTTGTGGAAAAACACGATGCATCAAAGATCCACCGTAAGTCCATTATTATAGGTGAGCAAATTTGGATGACCATGCTGATTGATGTAACTATAGCCTTAGTGTCCCAGCCCGATACTAGTGTGATTTTTTTGGGAAGCATTACCTTCCCAGACGCAGTTGCGTCCAATGGAAGCGGCGGAAAGTCCTTCGTGAGTGGCAAATTGTACTTTAGCGTCCAATGTTGATGATTTCTGACATCACAATTTAATAGGCGGAACATTACGACCCAACCTTGCTTTGATCAGTCAGTCCGGTTGTACTTTCAACATAGTTTAAGGTTTTATGGTATCATTTAGTTTCATGCTCGATTGGCTCGATTGGCAGAGGAATAAGAAGTCTTATGAAGGATAAAATGAGTTATCGGTAGTGATCGGCAGTCCTCAAGTTGTGATCGGTAGTGATCGGGAGTGCTCAAGATGTATTATTGATAAGATATTATATACACGAAGTGATCGGTAGTGATCGTTAGTGCTAAACATGTATTAGTGATAGTATTATATATATATGATGATAGGAAATACAAGTTCGGAAGTGACTGAAAAGCAATGATTTATATTTTGATGGCAATTGCACATAACCCAAAAGGATTGGCACTAGTGATTTGTGTCCTCAGTCAGCTTAGCGTATTTGCTCGGTGTGATAATGCTACCTTGGGTGTGATGGTATAAAACCAAACACCCCTCTATAGTTGAGGTCCATCTGCAACACGTACTTTATCATGCCATCTGTCAGCCCCTTACCAGCTTCAGATGAAGCTGCCTTCTCCAAAACTACTTCAACGCAAAATGACGCTGCTACGTCGGTGATCTCCACCCCTTCCATAGTATCTACCGACAATTTCATTGAAAACCCCCCAATTAAATCGCCTACTTCCGTCACCGCGGTGCATGGTTCTGTTGAAACTGCCGGTGAAGAAAGCCGTTATCCAGATCCAGTTGACCAAGCACGATCTGGACAATTGATTCCGACTTCCCGAACTATGATCAAGGTCAGGGCTCGTCCTGCTGTGAGACACGGCCCATCGCAAGGTGACCTTCTTTCATGTCCCATCCCTTATCATTTTCTTGTTTGACTCACAATTGTATCATTTGAATGCCGTCCCATATATGTTTTGTCCACCCTGGTTTAGAAGTAATAGGTCATGGTACTGTAATATGTGTATCCCTTCCGACTCGCATCTTGACCTGGCGACCTGATTTACCTTCTAAACGTGCGGCATTCATTTATCGCTGGGACACCTTCTACAACGAGAACCGTACCAAACCAACCTACGTTCCGGACAGTTGCGATTCTATTTCAGAATCAGTCGCAGTCTACCAAATCGGAAGTAGTGTTGATTTATCAAAAACACGAGATGTCAATGAATGGTCTGTTCGGGAGATGCAAGGGAGCGGTGACGAAATGCCGTATGCAGGCATTGTAAGGTTTCACCATCGTTGGTCCTTTTATGCTAAGGCCGGTAGAGAGACCGCTGTCGAACTGGTTAATGCTCACGCTGATGTTGAGGCCATGCTTCAATTATTCAAATTGAGTTTGCGCCAATTGTGGGAGGAGCAAAAACAACCTGAAGATGCATTAGCTATGGAGTTCCGCAATTGGTATTTTCGCGCGTCGGTTTTACACGTAAGTGTTGGTCCTTTGTCGTTTGGCATCGTCATCTAACTGCATTGCATGTCTGTATATAGGTCCCTCGTGTTTCTTTGATACAAACGATTGGTCAACTTGATGATGACGTGCCTCGTTGGATGATATGCAAAACTGCCCACCACCCAACCAGTAAACGATATGTCTACCCGTCGTGCTTCAGGGACTCTATGCCCGCTTCAGATCCTTGGAAAGCTATAATCTTTGCTCTCATTCATTATGTTTATCAAAAGAGTGGAGGAGTCACTCTCTTAGCTCAAGTCGACTGTGACATTTCGGGAAGTTTGACAAATATTGTCTGTTTCAATAAATCGTAAGTTTTGTACTATGATAGCTCTGCTATTTCCTGCTGCTATTTCCTGCTTACAGACGACGGTTCGATCAATCTGGTGATGTGCAGCTCGTACTATTTGAAGAATAGCGAAGAAATGGACATGCCATTTTTTGACTTCAGAGGGGGGCATCACTGTACCCAAATATGCAACAAGCTCGGCCTTGTACGTTTGGTGTTGTGAGGTGATCGTACAATTTTCCGCCAGACACTTGTTCTTGCCTTGCTAGCTTTTGTATGTTTATCTTTGCATAAAGGTGTCGGTAAAGTTAGCTCATCCTTCCATCCTTCCAGAAGGCGGCCTTCAGTTTAGACTAGTATTCTTTCTTACATTCTCACTGTTACTCCTTTGCCATAAATATGTAGTATTTGCGTGTCATTGACATCTTTTGTTGTCTCTGGGGTTATTACTCAGCTGCATTGCGTTGTAAATGAGGATCATATTGACACGAGAATCATTGAAAGAGGAAAGAACATCTTTGAACAACTATTGACACTATATTGAGTAATAAACATGGATGACACATTATGTTTGAGAAAAAAAAATAGGGGGAACATCACGACTAAACAACTTAGTTTCCATAGTTAGTATGAGAGATGGTGATTGTGATAGGTTGAAAATAAAGGCTTCAGTTATGGAATTGACTACATAGCAAATTGAATGACATGATGATAGAAATGACAGGGTTCAAGAAATAATGGGAAGAACGTGTTCATCATCGTGCTTCCCCTAATTGTTTAGCAAACCAAATTGGAGATTTGGCTGTGCCAAACGTGGCGGCAACATTGTGACGGTCACAATGCTTCAAAAATTCTTCCCATTTCTCTGGGGTGACATCTCTGATCCACCGTATGTAGCGATACATCGCAGAACGCTCATATACATATTCTTTCCCGAAGAAAGATTTCCATACTCCCTGCTTACCTGGCGTGGCCTTTTGTTTTGAATACCATTGCAGCATAGTTTGCATGGGAATGTCGCTGGATGGCCACTGTTGAATAGTTGAATCATCAGATAAATATATGATCGGATAGATATAAATAATAGATACACATACCAGACCGGTGGTTTCCGTCCGCCTTTTTGTGACTGGGCCAGGAGCCAAGGTGACTGCCTCCGCCGTGGGAATATGTGGTTGATTGCTGGCCGCTGGTGCACTGTCACGAAGAGCAGGATGCTCACTGATGGAAGGGGGTGAACTGCTGAACGAAATGTCCTCATTTGCAGCTACTACATCGCCGGTGGAAGGTGAGATGATTTTCGATACTGGAGGTATAGGTGTAGGGCTTGGTGGTTCATTGAATATGTTGCAAGAGAATTTTGGTCCTCTGACTGCAACGACCTCAATCTCAGGTTCTTCGACTGTGTTGGCACCGTGGTGGGTTGTGATCGAAAGCGAAGGTGTTGGTTCATCTGCATTTGGAGGGGTTTTGCGGTGTTTGGAAGCAACGGGCATTGGCGAATTGTTGCTCCCGTAGGAGCTGGAGGAGCTTGTTGCTGAGCCGGAACTTGATTGAATGGTGTAAATTCGATTGTTGTTGGGCGTCTGGATGGGTGTCGCTCGGAGTGAATCAACTGTGGCTCGGATGTTCGACCTAACTGCTGGGCTGAGCCTGGCTTGAAGTGGTGGCAGACCTTGGCACAACTTCGGGTCCACTGTGGACAAGCAGACCAACGCTTCGCGAAGCGGGTTCAACATAGGTATTGATGTTTCGACCAACGGAATTTAAACATTAAGGAG